CTCTGTTCAGTCCATGATGTTTGAATTTTAATGCACCCTACCCATTTCTCATGTGTATCTCGCTCATAAATCTATCAAGAGGGTTTGTCCCTTACTAAATAACGCCCATCAACACATCCTATGACAAATTACTAGGGACCAACTAATAAACTTGAGAACATCTAAATAGCATCTGGTGTTAAAACAAGCGGGATGTATCTCAATAATTCAGTGGGACAGGCCTTTAGCATGTGCAAGGCCGGGCCGGTAATATTTGGGCAAACATTTGCGTGGCCGGCGCGTCCCTCCCTAATGTCGGGTTGAGGAATGCCGTGATATGTGAATTTCTGCCGGAAAAATGTTCAAACACAAGTTAGATTTCTTTGCAACGACAAAAAATACACAAGGCTCAGGAAAAAGGTAGATGTTGATACGCTTTGTTCATTTGTAAGGCCTAAGTTTACACGTCGGCGCTACTGGATGCGGCTTCTTTCATCAAGTAACACACACTTGTGTTGATATTAGAATTCTCTGGATGCATAACACTCGGCTCCCGAAACCTGTGCATATTGTATGAGATTCCAGACGTTGCCCAGTGAGGAGGGTGCATTTTTTAAAGTGACAACAAAGCAACAATAGTATCTACTTATATTTGTTTTGGGAAAGGAAAGAATTGGGTTGGATCTTACTCGTCCTATTTCGATTGACATTGAAATTTAACTTCGTTCTATTTCTGCTGTTCAATTTTATTATAAAAAAATTAAATAGTACCTAGCTACTTATTTACATACCTAGTCATTATTTGTCTAATATTTTCTCTATCAAGTAAATACGGAAAATTCGCGTTTTACTTTCCGTAAAGAGGTCAACTGAATTCAAAAGAAATCAACCAAAAGCTGTTTCACTTAGCATTTCAACGAATTCAATCCACGGGAGTGCATAAGTGGATGGAAGTACAAAAGCCGGAGAAACAGAATCGCAAGTAAATGAGTTCCCGAATGCAAATTGAGTGAGAGGCACATTAACGCGTATTGAGTCAGCTGCGAAAGAATCGCTGAGTTATCGGACGGCGAGCTCGACGCCGGCGTCTGGGGACTTATTTCACTATACTTTTACTCGGAATTCTTTTCACATACTTACAAATACTAAATTACTAGATATTTTCTTTTTCTTGGCACATTGGTCTGATCCCTTCTTTAAATTCATGAACATCTAAGAATTTTCATTCTTTCCCTAAAATCTGATTAAGAAATTTTTCTTCCTACTTTTTACATTGGTAGTCCAGTCATTATAGTAAGTTCACCTCGGAATTCGAGATACCCAGCTGTAAGTCTGTAAATATGTGTATATTGACACCCTAAAAGTTGTCTCAAAACCTACATATGGTAGGGTGTAAGCAACTATTAAATTTTAAGGTCAACGGTCACAAAAATCGGTATTTTGCGCGTTTTTTAGAAATATCTCATTTCCTATGGGTTTTTTGCTATTTGTATTTATTATCAATATTGTAGAATACTAAATTCTCTACAAATTTTGCTTCAAAAATTTTTTTATACGGTGAACCGTTTTCGAGATAGAGGGCGGAGAGCGCGCGGTCACTGCATCACTTCAAGTCAACTTAAGCGCAAATTCCCGTGGGAATTTCGGGAATTCCTTGTTGTAAATAAGCTTTAAGTTTACTAAGGTACCTACATGCCAAATTTCAAGCGTCTAACTTCCTTTAAGCGTTTAGATTTTCCATACAAAAGGATTTTCCCGCTAATTCCTGTTCCCGTGGGAATTCCTAAGTATACTATAACCTGCTCAGGTGTATGAAGAATAATTGTACCAAGTTTCGTTAAAATCCGTCGAGTAGTTTTTGTTTCTATAAGGAACATACAGACGGACAGACAGACAGACAAAAATTTTACTGATTGCATTTTTGGCATCAGTATCGATCACTAATCACCCCCTGATAGTTATTTTGAAAATTTATTTCATGTATAGAATTGACCTCTACAGATTTATTATAAGTACTAGCGGCCGCTCTCTATCTCGAAAACGGTTCACCGTATAAAATTTTTTTTTGAACAGTAGAGAATTTAGTATTCTACAATATTGATAATAAATACAAATAGCAAAAAACCCATAGGAAATGAGATATTTCCAAAAAAAGCGCAAAAAAACGATTTTTGTGACCTTTGACCTTAAAATTTAATAGTTGCCTACACCCTACCATATGTAGGTTTTGAGACAACTTTTAGGGTGTCAATATACAAGTATTTACAGACTTACAGCTGGGTATCTCGAATTCCGAGATTCTTACCTAATTTAAGCTTAAATGACTGGACTATGGTCTCGTTTTCCTTGTAGGCCTTTTCCACTGTTCAAAAATAATTTAGCAGACTTCTGTTGATTAAGTCATACATTTTAAATTTTTTGCATCAAAAATCACACATTGTGTCCGAAAATCGCTTCCATTGTCATGCTTTTCATAAAATATTTCATCTGCGACTGAGGCGACCGCGCTCCAAGAATTAATGATGTGCAGTCTTTTAGCGAAAATACAATGACATCATTGTTTTCGCGTAACCCCACAAGTCTTAACATGCAAATGAAAAACAGTTCCAATCCGAAGGGTTGGAAACTCATCAAAGTAACGCTCGGTGGGGCACTGGAGCCATTATCTCAGCATAACATGTAGGTAACCAATCCGCGGGACTATTCGGGGCTATTCAGTTGCGGCGTTATTAGCAATTGCTTTCTAGCAATGCCATCGTCGCTCAAATTTCTTGTACGTTGAAAGAGATTGTAGCGTGGTTCAGTAAGAGCAGTCGCGATGGGATCACATAATAGGGGCAATGGGTCCCCGTATCCTCGTCAAACAACACAACGACTTACAAACAGAGTGGGGAAATTGAGACGTTTGTCTTCCGATCTGCGTTACAACAAACATGGGAGATCTTAGGGTGGCTTCATCGACTGGAGAACCATTTACAACGGACATTAATTTTGATGAGATATACAGTGTGTTTGGGATAGGGCTAGCGATAATTTAAGGCGATGTTTTTGTGTCACTTTTATCGACAAAAATGCCCCCAAAAACGTGCCCGTCAAAACTAAATTTTTTGACAAAAACAAAAATTCATTAATTATTTATTTTAAGTTTTTTTGGTAATTACCTATTTTTAATTTTGTCTTTTTTTAATGACACTTATTATTGGCTTACAAATGCAATTTTTTATTTATCTGTAAGACGGGCACATAATAAGAAACAAACAATTTGTATGTAGAGTCATATAGAAAATTAAGACCCCCAGTCCTAGAGGAAGGGGGTGGGTCTATCTTTGCAATATTTTACTGAAATAGTAACAATATTAAACATTTCAACCATTATATTTTAACAGATTGATTTTAACAAAACAGCTGCTATAGCTGTAAATGTAAGAAACATCAGTAGGTACTCTTAACTTTTGCAAATACAAAACCTTTATTTGTGAAACACAGGTAAAATGTTTAACAAAAATAAAACAGTTATGACGCGTGGTGTGTAGTGTAGATATTATTTATTTATTTATTTAAAACTTATATGCACATAGAACGGTGTACATAAGGCGGACTTAATGCCTTTGGGCATTTTCTGCCAGTCAACCTTAGGGCCAAACTGAGAATAAAGTAGGCGGTATAGAATTAATACGAATTTAGAAAAAAAAAATAATTACATAAATAACATATGAATACATACATAGACACATACATATATCATAATAGGATGGATGACAAAGGGAGAGAAAAAAAAAAAGACCATGCGCAATAATACTGTCGGGTGCGGATGTGATTACAAGGTCGAGTAAGGTGTCAGGGGAATCAATATTGTGGTGGGTGGCTTGTAACGGAAGGATAGAGAGATTCAAGGAAGTGACCAATGAGGTAAGTTTGGTAGAAGAAGAGGAATTTACAAGAAGATTGGTATTGAAGTCGCCCATGATTAAGTGATGCATGTAATCCGCGGAAATCGGTTCCAAAGCAGACTCGAGCTTGGGGAGGTAGTCCACCCCAGGGGGGCAGTACACCACCCCAAGGACAGCCTTGACGCCCTTCACGTTTACTTCGATGAAAATAAACTCGCCCGTCGCACTATACGGAGACGGTGACATACACAGCACCTTATATGGGATGTCACTACGAAGGTAGATAGCAACACCGCCACCACCTTTACCAGTGCGGTCATTCCTTATAAGAATGAAACCTGGAAGAGCGTAGGCCGCGGACTCGAGGCAAGGTTTGAGCCAGCTCTCAGAAACGAGGACAGCATGAAGATTAGTGATGGAAAAGGAGTCGAGAAGATCAGAGTAGTGGGAAGGAATACTTTGTGCGTTTATGTGGCAAACATTGAGAAATCGCTTAGTGTTAGAGAACTTATGGGATAGAGTATCTTTGAGGGTAAGAATGTCATGAAAAGATTCATCTTCAGTTGAAAAAGAATCATGAGCAGAGTAAAATGATTCGTCATCCATATATAAATACAAAACATAAAAATAAGATAAATATAATAATAAATGGCACTAACTAGCGATAAATAATCAAAATATTTAAACACAGCACTTTGGCCTGCCGGCTTACAAAATTAATTAAAAAAAAACACATCTATTTTTAAGGTTGGAGGCACCAGACCCACTCAATAAAATTAATTTAAATGAATATACACGTATGGAAAAAATAAAAACAGACAAAAAAAAAAATCAAGAAAAGAAATTAACAAATATAAGCATTAAGGGATCGTGTGAAACGAAACGCAATATGTCATCATAGTTTTTAGAAAAAAAAAAAAAAATTTAGAAAATTTTTTACTCTGCTGTTCCAGAAACCTATAAGAGAAAGAAAAAAAAAAAACATTAAAAAATAAATAGTAGATTTCCGAACGAAGCTAAGAATGTCATAATTGACACTTTGTTTGACAGATATTGCAAGAAAGAGGTTAGAAAGAAAAAATGTGAAATGAAAAAGTTCGTGAGTGATGTAAACAGAGATGAANAAATTTTTACTCTGCTGTTCCAGAAACCTAGAGTAAAATAGAGAAAGAAAAAAAAAAAAAAAAACATTAAAATAGTAGATTTCCGAACGAAGCTAAGAATGTCATAATTGACACTTTGTTTGACAGATATTGCAAGAACGAGGTTAGAAAGAAAAAATGTGAAATTAAAAAGTTCGTGAGTGATGTAAACAGAGATGAATTTTAGAATGTGAAAAGTGGGTAAAGGTACCTCCAAAGACAGCCAAGTGAGCACGCACTATTGTGGGGTAATCACTTCCCGGAGATTTGCTTGGTGACCGTGCGTTTGGAGCGTTGCGTTGACGCGGTGGAACCGATCTTGTTCCTCTTCTCCGTAGTCACGGGGCTCTCTCTCGCTGGGGCTGCTGACGCTGGCTGCTTGGCACAATCCAAATCGCCCTCACTATGTATGTGCCGACGTGTGCCGTCGGGCAGCTTGGCGTAAATGTTGCCATCCAACGTCCAACAGTTTGTTATGCCGAACCGCTTGCGTGCTTCTATAAAAAGCTGTTGCCTCCTACGTGTGAGGAACTCTGATAACACCGTAGGAGTCCCCTTCAAGGCAGTTTTCTTCCTCCAAACTGCAGTCTTTGTCGGATGGTCAGCGAAGCGAACCAGGATAGGTCGTGTGCGGTCTTTAGAGGCAGTTCCTAGCCTGTGACATGCTGAGAACTGAGAAGCTGTCAAGTCCCTCATCTCGAACCGTATTCTAGGAAACATACTATTTATTACTATTATGAGCCTGTTACGACCCACGTCATCTGTAGAATTAAACGACTAAAGCCATTGCTGGTATGAGATTTCATTTATTTGAAAAATGATATTATGAAAAAATCCTTTATCTCTGATATCGTCGTTAACCAGACGCAAAAGCATAAGGGGTAAATTGAGACGTTTGTGTTCGGAGCTCGGATACTTCCAGCTTGAGGGGATTCGGTTAACTCGAGACGTCAAACGGCTTCAGATATTTTGGGGTAACTTGAGACCAACTTCATGTTTGTTGAGTATGCTGACACTGTGTGTGTGAATGAGATATGGACACATAAGGTAGTAATCAGCACTCGTGTAGTTTTGTTTAGTGTAGTTTTTCAGCATTCATGTAAGGTGCAGTGCAGAACAGCGCGGCCCATGGGGGCCGCTAAAAACGATGGTGTTTTTGTGGTCCATCTGGCGTTATTAAATAAGGTAACTTGAAGCCCAAAAATTCTGAGACCGAGAAACAAATAGTTATTATGACGTAATAAAATATTAGTAACCGAAATATCCTTCTGCAATAGATTTCATCGCTGTATTTATCACCATCAACAAACAACAGCTGGGTCGTCATGGTAACGACTGGCGAGGCGATCTCTATCGGCGATAGAGCACGCTCTCGCAGCTACACTGACTGGTAACGGTAATGGGTTCCCTATGTATTATTGTAACGTTTCACATAATATTATTATATTCGAGAACAACGCGTGACAAAAACCTTTACTTTACCTTTACCTTGCCTGTAAGAATAATGATAACGATGGTCTCAATATACCACGTTAAACGAAAGCACCTGCTCTCAGGTTCACATGAAATTCGGAATAAGAGTAATTTGAAAAAAGTATAAAAAATACCTTTGTTAAAATGTAGCTACAGTGCTATACTATACATACATGATCTTTGTCTTTCACGTGTGTATTTGAAATAAGAACCCCACTTTCAAAACAAACACACTCCTAATAAAAGTAAAAACTGTTTAAAAGAGTGTTTTGTCTAAGAAATGGAATGAAAACATCCATAAATAAGTGATCGTGGGTACGAAAACGTGTTAGTGTACATCAAATGTTGGAAAATCTTGGGGAAAAATTGTGTTGTTTTTGTTCCACATTGTTTTCACTTACATTTTTCATTTCATCACATGTCAGTTTCCAAATGAGGTGGCATACAAAGATCGAAAGACATTAGTCAAACTGACACAAAACAAAAATAACTAAGCCGAATGTAGGTAATATAAACTAGGCGAAGTAGTTAGAAGTTTTTAGGGGGTTTTAAATAACTTAACTTCAAACAGAAAAAGTCCTATTTCTAAAAGTTTTATATAAATAAGGTAAGTAGGTAGGTATTCCTAAGCACAGTGATGTTTATGTTTTATATGCTGGAATCAATGAGGCTTTTTTACGCATATCTCGTTGCCATTTGCCTATCGTTCAAATTGATCAAAAATAAATGGAACTCCCAAATTGACAGTTGGAAATAGTCACGCGCCCAGTAATTGAAACTAATTGTGTACAAAATTACAAACGTCGATTCCTGGAACGGGACAATTTATAACCAACAGTCGAATCGACAAATTGTGTCCAACAACGAGACACTCGCTTATCGGCGATCGAGCGATTATAAACAAATTTATTCGAGTCGAGATAATCGAGACGGTGACACCCGCATCGAGCTGTCGATGGGAACTCGATCACGACTCCGATCGTTATCGCGTTTGTCGAATTCGAGTGACAAAACACAATAGATTACTGACACAATGGAATTATGTTGTGGAAGCAAAAGTTTTAATCGGCGCGCTGCATGCGTAATTGGGCATTATTTGAGGCGTGGCGAAAACTTATTCAGACTTAGCCTTGCAACACTTCATAACCATGTGAATAAATATTCAGAAGTTCTATCACAATCGGTAACGCACCTTTTCAAGCAATATCGCCTATGAACAGAAAATTTCATTTAATGATATTTTTGAGTGGTGTGAGAATGAGATATTTTTATACTAGGCACTATATGAATGAACATAATTCGTATACTCATAGATAGGTATTTATCTGCGATAGCATAATCATGACAGTTAAAAAATTAGAGAATCGAAGTCACTTCACAGTAATAATATCATAGTCACTTTGATGTCTACAATCTAAAATAAAAGCCGTCGGTTGTCAGAACTCAAATTACGGTCCAAATACACCATAGGAGCCTATACCCATGAATTTGGCAAACGCAGTGGCGTTTAATCGCTCTGCGGCGTTATTGCTGCGTTTTGGCACCGGGCGCGCGTTATGGGCCGTAACTCATAGTTTGACCCGCGGCTTTGTCTGTATTGCGAGCTAGAAGTTAGTTAACGTCCGATACCACGTGCATTGTTCTAGAGCTGTTACTATATGAGATTTGAAAACGAGATTTTCATGTCACATCACTTATGACGCGGATAGGAAAGTCGTTTTGCTTTTATAAACGTTCAGGCTTATAAATAAATTAACCGCAAGTAGATTTTTGTCACAATTCTAGATATTGAGAAATTTGAGAATCCTTATTACACGTTCATTTCACCTAACATTGTAAAATATGCCAATTTTTTGATCAAGTAAGTTTAAGACGTCTAATAAACTGTTCTATACGTGTTCGAACTACCCAATCCAGAAATACTCAGCTGATTCAACATAAATATCGACTTATTTGTATCTTGATAGCTCATTCATGACTGCAGCTTACCGAACACCAGTCAAAGCCGGTGCTTAGACAAATAGTGCGCTTAGAGACGCCATCGCACGGCCGCTTCTTAAACAACGATCCTGACTCCTGATGAGATCAATTTGTATTGCCTTCCGTTTAAAACCTCTAACCTTCATCTGCAAGCGAATCGCAACTTTACGTCTTGAGGGTACAGTCGGATTTGGGATGTGAAGTGCACGGTTGCTGTCTAAAGTCAGTATAAACCGGTGGATGGGGATGGAAAATGCCCAAAATAACTTGAACTCTTGCGTCGAGGGCATTTTCCCCTTGTTTGTCCGTTCAGTATCGTAATCGGGGACGAGAGGCAGTTCAGGTGCGGTGGTCAGAGATCTAGTGAGGCTGTAATTGTATGTAATTTGTGCGCATGAGATGCGGCGTGCCAAAGGTTCGTTAGCAACGTTCGGAATGCATTGCCATTGATGTAAGTGCCTAGTGTTGTGTTCTGTGATTGCGATTCGGTCATTAATGTAACTTTTGAAAAGAGGGGAGTTTTGTGAAACAACTCTATTATATCGCTTATAAATACACAATAGTTGAGTTGTTAGGTGTTGGTTCTATTTAAACATTGGTTCAATTATAATTTTAGACCTTTTAATTAAACATTACACTTAAGCTGTGGAAGGTTAGGGGAACATACACAAAGAAAAACAATACGCAGGTACTAAAAGTAAATATACCATAAGCGATGAACTGGATAACGGGCATCATTAGCCTTCGAAAGCTCGAAACTGTTTCTTCAAGATCCGTAATTATAAAGTTTAAATTGTTGTTAACAACATTTACCCTATTTACGATACCAAAGGGGTAGTTACGCGACCTTAAAGAAAACGCAAGTCCGCGAAATAATAAAAATTTCTCCTTTGCAGTCTACTAACTAGGAAATAAGTTGTTGAAGAATGCAGAGCGAGTTGATAAGGCCCGGTCTCTTTAATGAGCTTAATTTGCCAAAGTCACGGCAAAAAGATAAAGTCCTTACGCTAATAGAACTTTGTCAAAGGACAGTTTGTGTATGACCCAGCGAATTAAGCCAGGACATTTCAGACGAAAGTGCTCCTTGGTATAAAATCAGACACTTTTGACAGCGTATTTAAAAATAAGTTTTAATTAGTACACAATAAAGATTAATTTTCGCCCTTACTATTGAGGATTGAGACTATGGCTGACCAGTTTGTCGAGAGATAGTCAAATCAACACTCGAGTTAAAATTGTATATTTTTAAACGTCATTTCATAATACGGAATCTGAAATTATGCACGTGTATGTGTGTATTATACATAGTTTTGTTATCAGCTTGGAATCCTATAAAACGTAGGTAGTGAAACTTAGAACAAGTTTTGGTAAAATTCTATTGAATACTGATCTCTGTGCTCTGTGTGCGGGGGTGCCGGACCTTGGCAAGGGTTGGCGAAAACTGTGACGTCATTGAGTCTGATGAATGTAATTATAGAGGCCCATCCAAGTTGCTTTGCACTGTTTCGAGGTCTATTTGATTCGAGAAATGTTGGGTTGTGTCTGTTAAAAATTATTTCATTATTAAGTTTGAATTGGAATTGTAATTGAATTATGTACTTTTTATAAGATTTAAGCATAAGTAGTATAATAAAAAATATACTAATAAATGCATTACAAAAGGTATTTGTATGTCCATTCTCGTACATATTATACTATGTTATAATTTGATGTTTTTGATTGTAAACCTAGGTAAGTTTTACGGCAAATCTTTTTTTTCTCCAATATTTTCTACAATACTGATCATACCATTTGTCAACCAATGTTATTGGTGCATCTTGCATTTAGGTAACTAATTCACATAACAACTGTTTACTTCAATAACTTTAAAAAAATACTGAACGCTAATTATTTCATAAAAGTTTTTCAGAAATCTGATATCTATACGTACATATTTGAACACAAACTATGTATATCGTGGACCATTTTAGATCTTCCAACTTTTAAAATGTACTCTCTCGCTGCGTTCATTCTCGTGAATTTAACAGCGCCACTAACGTACACTCTCCGAGCACCGCGGAACATGTCCTCAGTTTTAGAATTAGTGCTCGGAGCACTTTCAACTTTTAAACTGTCCAGGGGTTCTGCCAAATCATTAATACTTTATTCGTTGTCTTTGTGAGTTGGTTCCCCGTACGTGCCCGCGTTTCTGAAATAAGTCCATTACTGAAAGTTTCGGGCTCCAGTTGAAATATTCGGAAACTTTG